CCTGCAGACGTATAATCTCTGAAAAGTTTCACATGAGTCATCTCCAACACGACAGAAACGCAGAACAGACTCACCATCATCAGCACATCCTCTGCCACAGAAAGAACGCTCATATTCCAGTCGTGTCCAGTTGAGTCGTGTTCTTTAGTCCGACAGAAGCTAAACTGCAACAGCGCACAATAGCGAGCTGTTTTTTGAGCGCTTAGTTTATGCAAGTTGGCCATGCGGTTTTCAGTTTTGTTTCTGTAAAATGTAAACAAATATGCTCAAAGATGTGTGGATAGGGAAGGGTTGCGACGTAGATCGTTTCTGATACGGTGATACAATGATACAATGATACAGTGATTCGTTTCAGTGTAAACGTAGTCTTCAAAACTACCGCTTTATGAAATCACAAGGTGGAATAGAGCATTTTGAGCTTTGAGGATACCAACAGCATAATCCTGGATTGCTCAAACGTGTGAAAAAAAGGAAATGCCTTTAAAATTATGCTTGGAGATTGTGATAAATAGTAAAAGATGATGAAAGGAAATGATGATTGTGAAAATAATATTAGTTAAATATAGTGACTAAAAATGTTTATCAAAAATGGGGGTGAAAAAAAGTAAGAAAGAGAGAGAGAAAAGGAATTTAAATTATAAATTGGCCAAAATATCAATGTAAGGGGGCCTAGCGGTGTGTTTATACTGCACTACCACATTACTTTTGTTTTATTTAACTAAATTTTTGTCGGGTGTGTGAATGAAACATGTGTGACTGTTTTTTTTATGAGGTAACAACATTATAAAAACTTAAAAATCCATTTTGTGTAATGTAGTACGTTTAAAAGAACTTTTTTTTTTTTTTTCACGTAATTAAAGGTTGTATAGAGGATTTTCCAAGGAACGAGAAATCCAGCGACTGTTTGTCCTTTTTCAAATGTTGCGCATGCGTGAAACCCCCCCCTCCCCTACAGCTCCTACGTAGAAACGCCTTCCTCCCGCCTCCTCTTTACGCCAGAAACAGGTTTGTTTACAGCCGGTGCACATGACTTGTAAACAACTAACTACAGTGTTGGTTAGGCAAGACGGAGAAGTGAGGAGCGGGGGGAGCGGGGGTGCGGACATTTCGTTCGCGGACGAGAAGTGAGGAGCAGGGGAGAAGAGCGGAGCAGGGAGAGGGAGAGAGGAGAGGGGAGGGGGCGCGGAGATTTCGTGCCCGGAGAAGTGAGGAGCAGGGGGAAGAGCGGATCGGGCAGCGGGGACAGGAGCAGGAAAGGGGTGCAGAGAAGGTTGCGCGGAGATTCCGTGCGAATGAACTAGCTACAACACGCAGCAGCAAGCGGACTCTTTCTTTGCCTTGAAAATTACGTTTTCAGACATAGGATATCGCTTTCGTGTCCTGAAAAACGTTTGTCTAACTCTTGGAAATAAAGTACGTTTTCATAATAAGCAGAAGTTTCCTGTCCAGGAGTAATTTGTGGACCAGTGCGTCAGTCTTTAGACCCTGCGTCTGCTTCAGTCGCGCCATCGCTGGAATGAATCTACAAGAATCACCTTAGTTTGGCTTCGCTGCTTTTCCCCTTGTCTTCTTCTTTCAGCGACCTCAAAAAACGGACTTTCTTTTGCGGCGAACTGCTCCTGGATTCTTGTCGCCATTGCAACAAACTTTGTGCGAACTGCGAGGAAGATATAGGTCAAAAAAAGCCGCTAAGAACTGTTGCGTTGGTGGAGTAAACAGCGTCTGTGCGTCTTGCGTCTGTGGACTGCGTGACAGGCGTACGTAAACCACGTACCGGCGGCGCGCAGGCAAGTCAGTTACACTAGAAACGTAGGGAGATTGATTGACAGCCTGTCAGCTCACAGATAACGAGGCAGTGTTGTTATCTATTGGCAAATGTTTAGCCCCACCACGTCCAGAGTTGATGAATTTTTATTCTCTTTTTTTTGGTCATCATAATTACAAGGCTACTGCACCTCTATAATCTATCATTGACAATTTGAAACAAAAAAAAAATCCTCCATACAACCTTTAAGTAAAATTTGTTATGCTCCAGTACTGATATATTGTGAAAGCAGCTTGGTTGAAATAAGATTACTGTGTACTGTTTGCATGGAGAGTACTTTTTTTAATTACTGTCCTCAAACCAGGATGTAAGGCTGGTCCGCTGTTAGCATGCTAGTTGTTGTTAACATTACCATGATTGCAAAACTCCTCTTTGGCCTCTGAAAGTTGTGAAAAGCTTTTATAAACTCATTTTGTTGAATTATTAGGATGCTCCGAAATGAGGAATAATTTTGGACCACTGCAAACTGTTTTAAATGGACTAGTTCTGGTTTTCACATTTTTCAGACATTTGGTATATTAAACAGACCCAAAAAACATGCACTGGTCGAGCATTCCTCCCCAAAAAATCTGATGCTCGGCAGTTCAGTCCTAAATTCAGCCAGTGCACTGTTGGGTCCTTTGGCAAGACACTTCAACGATTAGTATCGCATTAAACGGTGAGAAAGGTTGTAGATTCGAAAACGTTTTAGTGATGGACCGAAAGCAGAGAAAGAAAGTAGATAGAAATTAGGATTATTTTGTATTAGTGGTGTAACTATATCCAAGTCTCACGATACGATATCGTCACGGTATGAACCTCTCGGTACGATATTTATTGCGATATCGTGGGAAAGCTCACAATATGGAGGCGAGATTCACGATTAGGGATGTAACAATATTCAAATCTCTCGGTACGATATTTATTGCGATATTTTGTGGAGGCAAACAAAACGGTGAATATGCTACTTTTTCCTCTTAAAATGCATTGACGAGACTTAATTAATCAAAAAATATTAAGATTTAATGGTGCTTGTAGTCTTCATCTTGTAGTCTACACTGAAATAGAGCAAAGGATCATGGTCTATGTAGTTCCTCTGTCTTTTTTTTAGCTATTGTTGCACCATAACTCTTAATTTAAGCAAAGAGACTTGATATATTGTGATGGTCCACAGTATTACTGTGAGAACTTTGACGATACAACATCACGATATTTGGTTATTGCTACATCCCTACTTTGTATGAATAAAATCACTGTTTTCAAAAAATGTCAATGACAAAAATACTAAAAGTTCAAAATATCCTAAAAAGTATTACTTGTGTGAGCTTTAAGCCATGTTATCAAGTTGTTACTAGGAGGTGTGCATTGCCTTGAGTCTGACGATACAATACATATCATGATATGCATGTCACGATTCGATATATCCTATTATATCCCGATACTAAAACATAGGACAATATATTGCGATTTATCAATAATTATTTCTATTAATACAGTCAACTGCACCTTCACAAGAACACAATTGTACGAAACATAATTTATAAAAAGGTTTAAATCATCAGAACAGCGAATGTAAATAATGAATTTTTGTGAAAAGTATTATTTAAAAAATTGATTCGGATGCATTTTGAATTGATTTGATTATTGTGCGATGAAATGTCACTGAATTGATTTTTTTCTTACACCCCTTGTTGTTACCTCGTCTAAAACATACCTGGAGTTCTGTTTTGTTTCAGTCACATGCATTATTAGACTGTCTACATCTCCAAAGCTCAAAATGCTCTGTTCCACCTTGTGATGAAGCGGTATCTTTTGTTCAGTAGAGATCAGCAATTCCAGAGCTAAAATTATGCAGATGATTCTAGTGAAGGGGTATGGAGTTTAAAACACAATGGAGCACTTTAATCCATGTATAATTCATTCATTAGTTTTTCAATATAAAACCAAAAATAAGAAAACCTGGATCAGTCCTGGTTCAGTCCGTATGTGGTGCAGAAGTCCGGCATCTCAGTCACGGAAGTCACGTAAACGGGACATGGCCTATTCTTCATTTAAACACAAAATCGAAAACTTAAAAAAATAATTATTATCCATTTTTTTTCATTTTGGTTTTGGAGATAAATAATGAAGAAAACAATTGTTTTTTTCTTATTTTTGGTTTTATATTGAAAAACAAATGAACGAATGACACACGGATTATCTTTCTGTATCACCACATGACATCGCAAGGTCGACTGTTTTAGGTTCAAGAGAAGAACTGGATACAGGACTGCATTTGCAAAGTTGTTTAAAATAACAAAGAATGACCAAACACAAAAATCCAAACAGAAGTGAAATTGATAATGACAAACGAATAAGGATGTAACAGAAATATTGTGATACTGTATTGCCAAAAGTCTCACAATAATATCGTGGGCCATCGCAATACATCAAATTACAAGTTTCTTTGTAATTCGATGTATCGTTATGGTGCAGCAACAGCTTAAAAACAGACAGAACTACATAGACCATGATCCTTTGCTCTGTTTTAGTCCAGTCTACATGAAAAAACAGCTGTTATTAAGCATTATTAAAGCTTAATTATTTGGTTTATGTCGAGAGAAAAGTAGCATATTCACAGTTTCGTTTGCTTCTGCAAAATACAGCAATAAATATCGTCCCGTGAGATGCATATAGTGAAAATATCGTATCGAGAGATTTGGAATACAACAGAAAGTAGAACTCAAAACACACACACGGCTAGAGAAATACAAAATAAAACCGGGTCAAGAATAATAAAATAATTCAATGAAAATTAACACCATGATAAACTGTGCCTAAATATGTAGAATTTGTCTGTGGCGAATGAAACAAAACACAACTCCAGGTATGTTTGTTGCGAGGAAACATTATAGCATACAGTAAATCATAAAATAGTGTAATATGGGCGCTTTAAATGAATTTTAAAAAGGCAAAATCAGGTAAAACTGTCCCAAAAAGTCCGTATGACATTAAACATCTCCTCCTTACCTGCAAAGATGAATGAGCCTGTCTGTGTGTTATGTTTGATATGAAAAAACAAGTTGTAACTGTAATCTATCATCCTGCTGCTTTACTTAAACATATGCTCTCTCCATTAGGACGCCGCTTCTGTCTGTCTGTCTGTGTGTTTGCTTTTCGGTGGTAAAGTCCATAGAGTCTTCTTCTGTCTCCTCAGGTGAACTGTTACTACCATGGAGAGGTGGAGGGACGCCAGGATTCGGACGTGACCCTCAGCACATGTGATGGGGTCAGGTAAGTCTATATGTATTTGTCTGTGGCTGAGTTTCAGATGAAATTACAGAATTCTATAGGTCTAAGTTATTTAATAGAGATGGGCAACTACAGATTTTTGTTGTAATACAGCATGGTCAATAATAGAAATGATTAGGTTGTTCCGATACTGTTACTGGTATCGTCAAAAGCTCCGATACCGCCCGTTTTTCCAGTATTGGTATAGGCGATGTCTGTCTGTATCATGTCAGTCGATCGCATCATTACTTCTGCACCACAGAAAATGTAACATTTAAACAAACTTATAAAGACGACTGAGAAGACTGAACACAAATGCCCCCAAAAAGAAAATCATATTTTGCAGATTACAAGCTGTGAAATATGCAGCCAAAAACGGTAATGAAGCAGCAGAAAGACAGTTTGGAGTGAGCGAGAAACTTGAGACACCAGGACGGTGCACCTCAACTTTCCTGAAGTCACTGGATGGATGGACAAAGCCTGGACTTCAGTGACACTGAAACCATCCTGTCGGGATTCAGAAAGGCCCGAATAATTTTAACTGGAACTGATGCTGAGTCTGACGACACAGAAGAGGACACGGTGCTCCGTTTACCTCCAGAGGTCGTGGAGTTGCTCAGAAGTGACACCGAGGATGAAGAATTCAATGGATTTAGTGATTTGGAGTGAGATGGAGAGTTTGGTAAACTTGTTCTGTTTTCAAGATGAAATGTCGGCTCCTGGTCTCTGATTTTATAAAATATATTTCCACCAGAAAGTGTGACTTATAGTCCAGTGCCACTTAAATATGTTTTTTTTCTTCTTCATTATGCATTTCTTGGCCGGTGCGACTTATAGTCAGAAAAATACAGTACTCAGACCAAATCACAGATCCAATACTATGTATTTTTGACAAAATGGACCTGTGGATGTGCGGGCGGCTGCTGTTTACCTCGGTGTCTAATGTTACCGTTAACACACAGACTAGGTTAGACCATGGACACATAAAACATGCTAATAATGACAGAAAATACATTTGTGTTCCCTCTTCGATGCCTTCATTTAGCCTTTAGTGTGAACGCTCAACCTAGTTGAAAAACTGCAGCCCGAAAACAACGAAACAGTTAACTGGGACTTTGCTTACTCTGCATAATTGTCATGTGCTCCGAGGAGGGTCATCTTTTTACAGGCCTCACTATTGGTTTTTGTCCATGCACTGCGGTAGAAAGTAACAAATTAGAAAAGTATAAATGCTTAAATCAGCACTACTCAAAATCTAATTTATTCCATAGATTTTCTGGCCTTTTAGTAGATTTATTTATTGCTCTTGTACTGTAAGAAAACTGAGTAGCCTTAGTCTACTTCTTCACACTATGTGGTATCAAACTGGTATCGGCATCGGAGAGTAAACTAACATCAAAGTATCGGTATTGGATCGGATCCCCCAAAAATTGTATCGGAAACAACACAAGGAATGATCAGGTCCTGTATTTGGGAATTTACCTTTCAGATATTTCATGGCAAAATACAGTGTACTTCTGTTTTTTTTCTGTTTTAACAACTTTAAATAATATCTCTTATTTAATGATACATCATTTGATTTGCCCATTTGGAATCTTTAATATCTTTTATCAGTTTGCTGGGCAGGCTCAGACTTGGGTCCTTGTGAGTTGAGCACATAGACTGTTTATATAAATGGACTGATACCAGTGAGAATTCCAATGGCTAACTTTTTTTTTCTTTTCTTTTTTTTTTTGGCATATATACATACAAATTATTATAATATTGCAAAAAAAAAGAGACGACAACTTCACATCTCTTTTCAAATGCAGAAGTCAGTGAATTTGTTTATTTTATTAAGCAGTTTTAGATGAATATTCTGATTTAAAATGTCCAAATTATAACGCAATGATCCACGGGTGTCATAGATTATAACTATAGCAAACACAAGCACAATATAACTACGTTCAGACTGCAGCCTGAAGTGATTTTTTCAGATTTTTTCACCCCTATGTGACCTGTATCTGATCTTTTAATGACAGTCTTGAATGACACAGATCCGATTTTTTCAAATGGCCACTTGGATATGTGCTCCTAAAACCGATACATATCTGATTTTTTTACATGCGACTTCAGTCTGAACGGTCAAAGTGCATTCATCCGATCTACTCGTTATCAACAAGACACAAACGTCACTATTCTGCGCTGAAGTAGGCGAAAATTGTTAATGAACTCCGTGTCACTGAAGCGAAGCACATCACCACTCACCACTCTTGGCTCCGTCTCCACATCCACTCCTTCTTTTCAACGGACGTCGCTGCCGCTGCCCCACAAAACACCACGGCCAAAAACCTCGTCCTTCTCCTTCTCAATCTCCTCCTTAAAACAAGTAAGTTGTTCATGTTCTGGCTCCGGTACGAGAGAAACTTTAAAATCTCCAGGTGCTCAATGCTCGCGTCCATGTTTGGACAACTTCTGTAAACACAGAGACGCTCACTGCGGTTGACGTCGTCGTGTCTCCAGTGCACATGTGGGACACTTTTGGGCCGTTTAATGTTCACACAGGAGATCACATACAAGTCACATTTAATTGAAAATGTGAACGACCTCGCAAAAACATCGGATTTCAGAAAAAAATCTGAATTGAGCGTTAAGCCCTGCAAGCCTATGTGTTCCTTAAAAGCGCACAATTTAACTTTTCTGCCTGTCTCCATGGTGATGTTATTGCTTGACCTGGAATCTTCCACAGTACGGCATTAAACATTTAGATCTCTATATTCAAGCTGGTCCCACAATGGAGACAATACACAGTGTCCGTATAAAGTAGTAGTAACTTTTCGATCAATACTATTACAACTGCATGGTGATTTACTTCTTACTTTCTACTACTTCCAGTCAAATTATCCATAAAAATTACAGTATTATATTGGTTAAATGACATTAGAAAATCTATTCGAACTGTCATTAAAAAGCCCAAAGGTGCACCTAAAGTCTAAAGTCCCAAACCCACAAGAATTCCACTGAAAACAAGTGAAGTATTGACCACCCAAATCTCCATTAAAGCCCAATTTCCTGTGTGTGTTTCTGCTAAGTGTGCTCTGAAACCCGAGCCTGGCCCCAGAGCAGGTGATAACTACATTATACGCAGTTTGTAACGGGAGATACTGGAGAGGCAAAACACTAATCCATTACAGTCTGGAAATTACATTCTGCTCGGGTTTAAGTAAAGTTTAGAAAAAAAAAAAAAAGAGGGAAAAAAGCCACCCTGAAGAAGCAGCAGCCATTTAATTTAATCACAGCGAATGTTTTGGTGCAAGAGGAAGTAGGTAGCTTATTTAGACCAAACAAAGGTACAATTTCTCACAATAGGCTTATGTACTACGGTAATTGAGCTTTTATTGATAATCCAAGATGCTGTATTTGCTCCAAAAGTACAACGTAAAGGTGCATTGTGTAACTTTTCTGATGAGGAGATGTTACCCATTATGTTCAACAGTATGACTTTAAAGTAATCTGTCTTCTGTTTGACCAAATACAGCTTGAAAAACATAAATTCTTATTGGGAGTTGGCTGCTTTTCCAGAGATCTGACATGTAACTTGGCACGGTGGTGGCAAAGATAGATCTGTTGAATGCTATGCTGTGGAACATTCAACTCAAATCTGTTACATCTCCATGGAAACAAGCAGGTGGCTAAACCTACTGACCCATTCTTACGATCGTGAATTTTATTTAAGAGCCCATATTACGCTAGATTGATTCATCAGCCGGTTTCACTTCGTGGAAACCGTCTGACCTCGCAGCATTAGGATTCGTTTGCTTGACTGTCAGTAGCCGGGTGCTTTTTTTATTTAATTAATCGCTGCTATTTGGTCGTGACGTATGTAATGCGCCAAATCTCGTAGGAAGAAGAGCAATAACGTCTTTCCCCTTGATAAAATTCACTTAAAGGTTGTATAGAGGATTTTTTTAAGGGAAGAGAAATACAGCGACAGTCCTTGTGCGCATTCAGAATTACTGTTGAAGTTTCCTGTCTAGAAGTAATTCAGCGACTAACACATCAGTTTTTAGACCCTTCGTCTGCTTCGGTCGCGCCATCGCTGGACGAGATCTCCAAGAATCACCTCAGTTTGGTTTTGCTCCTTTTCCTCTTCTCTTCTTCTTTCAGCGACCTCAAAAACGGACTTTCTTTTGCGGCGAACCGGTCGTGGATTCTCGTCCGCCGTCGCGACAAACTTTGTGCGAAATGCGAGGAAGCGACAGTTCGAAAAAGCTTCTAAGAACCGCTGCGTAAACCACGTAATCCCTGCGCTCCGACGAGTCAGTTATACTAGGGAGTTTGACTGACAACCTAACAGCCAATAGAAAATGAGGGAGCCTTGTTTTCTATTGGCTGATGTTTATCTGGCCTCACTACGTCCACAGTTGATAGATTTTCGTTCTTTTTTTTTTTTTGGTCCTCATAATTACAAAGCTGCTGCGTCTCTGTAATGGTATTTTAATCTTTCACTGACAGTTTGAAACAAAAAAAATCCTCCATACAACCTTTAACATTCTCTTTGTTCCGGTTTTAAATCCTCAATCTCGGGAATCGTTGCCAACACAGAATATCTGTCTTCGTCTACATCCATCTCGACCTCTTTGTTTACTATGTTAGTAGGTTCTTTTTTCAGACCTAGAGTTTTGTTTCATACCTGACAGTTTCGCCTGCTCACTATAAATTATAAACTATAAGCTGGGACGAGGGGGCTTTTTTACTCTCACACACCTGGGATACTGTCCTGAGGAAGTCGGACTGCAGATGGCGCTGTCGTCCTGCCTCCACCGGTAGGAAGACAGCGCCAAAACCTGTATAAATCAGCTGACCGGACACGTCACAGCAACATCACGTGATCACTCTGAGGTAGACCGCAGTGAGCAGTCGAAACTGTCAGGTATGAAACAAAACTGTAGGTCTGAAAAAAGAAACTAATAACATAAAATATCGGAAGACCAAATTCCACAAAAGGGACACAGACAGATGCTTGAGTTTGATGTCATGACTTCACAGCTCTTCACTGATTGGTCAGTGTGTGGTCTACAACTTCTGGTTTTCTTGCAAACCATCTAGTGTATTCTGATTCCTGACGTAGTCGCTGGAGAAAAATGAAATTGAGCGGAGGCACTAGGTGGCGCCAACCTGGCCAATATTACACTATTTTCTGTTATAATGTTTCCTCATCAAAAACATATGTGGAGTTGTGTTTTGTTTCATTCACACATGTTTAACACACAAATCCTACATACTTACTTTTGGTAATCAGCTCATCCAAGTTGTTTTTTCAGTTGAAGAAGCAGCTTGGATGAGCCGCGAAACGTATTCGACCAAAATAAACTTTTGTCCAGTTGACAAACTGAATTTTCTCCTCACCATGATTCTACCTGGACGACTGAGGGATTCTTCACACTGACTTTTGGTAACACTATTTCAGGGTGCACTTATTAACATCTAACTACCTGTTAATTAGTATAGTTGTCGATGTTAATTTGTCATTAATTAGTATATATTCAGCCCTTATTAATAAATTAATTCCCTATAAGCTTATTCTGCTATTAGTTAGTAACATTCACAAACACTTTCCTATTAATAAACTCCTTATTACTGCTTATTAGTTTGATACTAGGCCATTTTTGTCCATGAATTATGAGTCTAATAAGCTTTTGGTAATAAGCGTGTTATTAAGGAGGAATAGCACAAGAAATTTAGTTTTTACTTATTTGCACTTAATAAATTTATCTTACTCTTATGTAATAAAACATTCTCTAGTAGGTGTTAATAGAGTCCAACTAGCCATGAATTAAGTTAAATTTATTAAGTTATCAAGTGCACCCTAAAATAAAGTCTCTCTCAAATGGAAAACACTCTGTTCCACCTTGTGATGTCATGCGGTAATACGGGAATCGCTCCACTGTGTTTTTAACTCCATACACCTTTTCTTCAGAATCGTTTGGATAATTTCTGCCTGTCTGAACTGAACTAAAGGTTAAATTTAGCAGTCAACTTGAAAACTACAGCTTCATGACATCACAAAGTGGAACAGAGCATTTTGACTAATAGTAATAATCAAAGTGTTACTCAAACGTGTGTGAATGAAACAAAACACAACTCCAGGTATGGTTTTTGCAGAAGTTACAACATTATAACAGCTCACAAGTGTCGATTTTGCGTAATATAGAACCTTTAATTATTAATTTTAACTTTCTGCAAATAGTTTCACACTAAATCATGGCAAAGTTAAACCAGACGTATACATAAATATTTCACTGGGAGATGTCTGTTGATTTCGGGTTGCAGCAGAGGAGCAGTGAGGAGAATCTGTTATGACTTTTTAGAGTGAATCTTGTGAAATAAACATGAGAATCGAGTCGACTCATAACTGTTGAACTCTGCTTCAAATCAAACTTAAATCATATCAGATGTTCAGATGCACTTACGTACTTATCCCGTGTGAGGTTTTACAATGGGGTTATGACTCTTTGGTTACACGTACAAGATGAGTGGGGGTCTTATCTGAAACTAACGCTCTACTGTTTTACACGTGTAGTTCTCAGCTTCAAGCCCTGATATGGAAAACGCCAGTGTTGGATGAAGTGCTCAATTTTGTTACTTAAAAATGCTTTGTGTAACTTTTCTAGTGAAGTGTCAGTCACCAGTTGCCTCTTGGAGATGTTTTTGCTTTGGCAGAATGTAGTCAAGACCGCACTAATCGAGATCGAGACCTGTACGAGACCACAGGGTCCCGAGACCAAGACAGAGACCTCTGAGGGTCGAGATCGAGACAAGACCGAGACTTTTGAAGGCCGAGACTCAGACAAGATGGTGGCTTTTAAGAGACAAAACTGAGACAAGACTGAGACTTTTAAAAGACAAAACTGAGACAAGACCGAGACTTTTAGAGGCCGAGACCAAGCCAAGACCAAGACTTTTAAAGAACAAGACTGAGACAAGACCGAGACTTTTAAAGGCCGAGACCAAGCCAAGACCAAGACTTTTAAAGAACAAGACTGAGACAAGACCGAGACTTTTAAAGGCCGAGACCAAGCCAAGACCAAGACTTTTAAAGAACAAGACTGAGACAAGACCGAGACTTTTAAAGGCCGAGACCAAGCCAAGACCAAGACTTTTAAAGAACAAGACTGAGACAAGACCGAGACTTTTAAAGGCCGAGACCAAGCCAAGACCAAGACTTTTAAAGAACAAGACTGAGACAAGACCGAGACTTTTAAAGGCTGAGACCAGCCAAGACCAAGACTTTTAAAGACGAGACTGAGACAAGACCGAGACTTTTAAAGGCTGAACAAGACTGAGACTTTTAAAGAGACAAGACCAAGACTTTTAAAGACGAGACCAAGCCGAGACCAAGACTTTTAAAGAACAAGACTGAGACAAGACCGAGACTTTTAAAGGCCGAGACCAAGCCAAGACCAAGACTTTTAAAGAACAAGACTGAGACAAGACCGAGACTTTTAAAGGCCGAGACCAAGCCAAGACCAAGACTTTTAAAGAACAAGACTGAGACAAGACCGAGACTTTTAAAGGCTGACACAAGACTGAGACTTTTAAAGGCTGAGACGGCGACAAGACCAAGACTTTTAAAGGACGAGACCAAGCCGAGACCAAGACTTTTAAAGAACAAGACTGAGACAAGACCGAGACTTTTAAAAGACAAAACTGAGACAAGACGGAGACTTTTAAAGGCCGAGACCAAGCCAAGACCAAGACTTTTAAAGAACAAGACTGAGACAAGACCGAGACTTTTAAAGGCTGAGACAAGACTGAGACTTTTAAAGGCTGAGACGGCGACAAGACCAAGACTTTTAAAGGACGAGACAAGACCGAGACTTTTAAAGGCTGAGACTGAGAGACCAAGTTCCATCGAGACCAAATTGAGTCCATCTTTGTCAAAAATGTCTACATTTATTTGTAATTTTGTTATTTTGGCACATACATATTAATGTTTTTTTATAAATTTATCTCAATTTTTTCACTGGTCAAGTGTCAAACTTTAAGACCGAAACAAGACCGAATCCAAGCGCCTTCAAGACCGAAACAAGACCGAGTCCAAGCACCTTCCAGACCGACAAGACCAAGTCCAAGCACCGAGAAGTCCGAGACATGACTGAGTCCAAGTGCCTTCAAGACCGAGACAAGACCGAGTCCAAGCACCTTCCAGACCGAGACAAGACCGAGTCCAAGCGCCTTCAAGACCAGGTCCAAGTGCCTTTAAGACCGAGAAAAGATAGAGTCCAAGTGCCTTCAAGACTGAGAAAAGATAGAGTCCTCGCGAGTTCAAGACGAGACCAAGACCCCCAAAAAAAATGCTCTCGAGGCCGGTCTCGAGACCAAGACAGGTCTTGAGTTCTATGACACTAGCAGAATGTTCCACTGTATGGCATTAAAGTCTTATATCATCTTACATTGATTTAATTATCAGTGTTTTATTGATTTATCAGAAATACCTTGAAAAGCATGCATTTGAAATTTGAGGGCGCTCCCTCTCCACAGATCTGACCTGTAACTTAGCCTGGTGGTGTCACGTACTTGTATATATGGAGATAGATAAATAATGCCATATTGTGCAACATTTAGATGAAGACAAGCAGGTGGCAGACCCTCCACCACAAAAGTTAAACAGTGCAACTTTCAGTAAAAGTACCGATTTGAAGTAGCTGTTTAAAAATGTACTTTAAGAATAAAAAATAAAAGTATTTTGCAGAGATCTCTAGAACAATTAAAGCTGTAGTGATTTTGATAAAGGATTTCGCTGATTTTAAGTTATTTCTAAATTTTTCAAGTTGTTTTTGTGTATTTGCTCAAAGTTGAGACATGAACTCAAATGAAATGTGTTAAAAATAAGCCTCAGCCATTTCTTTCTTTCTTCTCTTTATCCCCAGAGGCTTCCTGTCTCTCGCCGGCCGCTCCTTTGTCCTGGAGCCTTCCTCAGACCACAGAGACGGAACTCACCTGGTGTATCCCGCCCAGCACCTGCACCTGTCTCTGGGCACCTGCCTTCACGAGGGCCTGAACCTGACCTCTCCCATCTCCACAAACTCCAGCCACACGAACCGAGAGATGAACCAGGGAGACGTCTTCAGAGCCTTCAGTACACGGGTAAGTTCTACTCAAGTTACAATTAAAAAGCTGAAATTATAGGCCTGACATATATGGAGTTATCATTCAATACATCATTTTTGGGGCTCAGTATTTATTGTGAATACTTTTTCTTTGTACTTGTGGGGAACGTTTTGTTATTTTTCGCTTCTCTGATCAGATTTGAGTTAAATAAATAACTTCTATGACTCATTTTAGAGACAAACCCACAACTAAAGTGTTTCATTCTGCTGTTTATTTACTACAGTTTGTGTTTTTAAACAATACTGTACATTTACAATATTTTTGACATCCAAATTGTGATGTCATGAAGAGGTAGTTTTCAAGTTAAAAGCTACATTTTACTTTTTCTTCAGTAGATATTGGCATTTCCAGGGCCGAAATTATCCAAATGATTCTAGTGAAGGTGTATGGAGTTTAAAAACACAGTGGAGCACTTCCTGTATTATCACATGGCATTACAAGATGGAACAGAGTGTTTTCTGTTTGAGAGAAGAGCTCAGCCGAAATATGCAGGTTTTGTGTGTTAAACATGTGTGATGGAAATTTATATTGTGGAAAAGATTTTTCTCAATCTCTCTTTGTGTAAATAAATGTGATTTCTACCTGAGATCAGACCCCCAAAAGGAAAATATTGATTATGATTGATTAAATTAAAATAGTGAGTTTAGTTTATCTTTTAGAAACACATTTGGTCTTGTAACTAAAACTCATTTGTAAAAACAGCGTTAGAAAGACTCGTCAATGTAAACACTTCTGTTCCCTTTTGCTTGCTGATCTTGTCAGGAAGTGACAAATGCACGTGAATATGGATGCAAATCAGATTACCGTAAATTTCGGACTATAAGACGCTACTCTTTTCTCACACTTTGAACCCTGCGGCTAATAAAACGATGCAGCGAATATATGGACGGATTATTTATCAGTGAGTCGATGGTGAGATTTTTGCGACGGCAGCGTGACTCAACTCAAAAAGACGACAAAAGCTTTCAGAGGCGTTAAAAGCAGATGGCCCGAACTTGAAAACGTTCTTGAAGACGTGGACACCTGCGGCTTATATTCAGCCTATATATGTACAGTTTTAAAATTTTGTTAAAATTTAGTTGGTGTGGCTTATATTCAGGTGCACTCAATAGTCCGGAAAATACGGTAAGCATATTTGGCCACACCTCAGTAGGAGTCGTCACCTTTTCAGTTTGAAATGTACATTTTCTGGTCATCTCAGTGGATATAATCTTGGCTCTTTGTAAGATTTGGGGTCTAATGTGGTAGGGACATACTGCTGGGGAGGAGAGGCCACGTTTAGGCTCTGTCCATATCTGCTGTAAAAAGAATAAACCTTTAAGCTAAAGATGTTCATTTTATCTTAGGTACTTTAACTTCTTGGGTTCTTTATAAAGCGACAGTTTTGAAAATGACTTGCAGCAGGAGCCGAAACATGTCAACAGGGTAAATACACTTTACTGTATTGTCTTTAAAAAGACCCCAAGAAGTTACAGCATAAACCTTTGTCTTTGGCTTCGCAAATTGATTAATTATTTTTTCTTCAAGAGATATACAATTTTTCCCACACCACATATGTGAATGAAACAAAACACAGCTCCAGGTCTGTTTGTGATAACGAAACAACATTATAACAGATCAGAAAATAGCACATTTTAGGCCCTTTAAAATAGGTTTTAAAACATGCATAATGTGACTTGCACTTTTTATATGTTATTATTGGACCATTCACTGCATTCAAACATCATTTTACACAAAAAAATGGAGGCGAGGTGGGTGAAGTGTATTGCCCAAGAGCACAATGGACTGATATGAATATTAATATTTATAGAGGTAACACTAATAATTGTAAATATATCACGTCAAATACATTCTTGTGGTGGAATTCCAGTGTTTTACCATGGAAAGCACTCCATTTATTCACAATATTTTGCTTATGCTTTGCTTCTGAAACCAAAATTGTATTTAAATCTGTTTATTTCCAGTAGCCTATCATTAGAATCGCTGCATATTTACAGTAAACCCCCCAAAATATTGCGTTTGGTCCATCCACAGGGGGTCCCAATCCAGCGTATCAAACCTAATTAAATAAAAAGGATTGTAACGTGGAAATATAACAGACTTCTTCCCACCTCTTCATGTTTTCGCGATGCAGATGGAGTTAAGTGGTGGACTTTATTTGACATTATACTCCTCGCTGTATTATTCACTGTTAGCTCTTCCATTAGCACAGGGAGACTCTGGAGGCTGGTGGGAGGTGCTGCATGTTAACCGTCCATTATCTCTAGAAGGGGTCTCGGTCTATAAAAAGGGTGCCAGGTCAGGAGACATAAAACAGCTTTTAGGGCACTCTCCTGCGCTCTGTGCCCTTAACACGTACTAACCACACAGGGAATAAACGTAAATCTGTAGAGGCAACCGAGATTAAGATGAAGAGAAGAATGTGTTGAGAAGAAACACGCTTGTTAAGGACATAAAACCGCGCACAACAAGATGGACACTCGTAATCGTTGAGGGTGTTAAAAAAAAATCGCTAGAATTCACGGCCTGTGGACCAATCAGAGAGTAGAAAACAGTGACACCAACTAGGAAAGCAACAGCATTCGATATAATATAAACAAAAATAAATCTGAGCTGTAAAACATTGAACTAAATAAAGTAAAACACTGTACTGCAATTTATTAAAATGTGGTGTTTCATGTTAAAGGTTCACTATGTAACTTTTCTGTCTGCCTACATTTTTGTTTCCATGACGATGTGATTGCTTTGCTTGGAATGTGTCACAGTATAGACATGTCAAACTCAGGCCCAGGGACCAAATTTGGCCCACGATATAATTATATTTGGCCCAGGAGATTATATCAAATATGTATTAGAGCTGCCCGAGATTATATCAAATATGTATTAGAGCTGCCGTCGGCTATAGACTATAGAGACATTATTTTTATTTAAAATGTTGTTATTTTATATTTATATTTTATATTTTGCTTGTTCTGGATTCAGTGTTTAAGCAAAACTATTATTAAATATTTATTTTAATAAGAAAAGGTTTAACATTATATATCTCGAAAGAAGAAAAAACATGCAGATGTTATTGAAATTTGTCAATAAATACAGTATTTAGTTTGGCCCACGACTTAGCCCCAGTTTTTAATTTTGGCCTCTGTGATTTTGAGTTTGACACCCCTGCACTATGGTATTTAACTTAAATATCTCCATGGAAACAAGCAGGAGATGCCACCGGACCAAGACACTGGTCAGATCTGTGCAGAAGACGGCCCGCCGACTGTCGATGTGCATGTTCTCTGAGCAATAAAACACCCATAAAACACCCACACCGTGAAACATTTCAGACAAAGTAACACCATCCCCATGGAGACAAACCCTCTACCCGAAAAGTTACACAGTGCACCTTTAATATCATCAGTTCAATCAAGTGTTTATATTTTTCTCATTAGTAGAAAAAACCCAAATAAGAGTTCTTTTTTTCTGAGACTAACGTATCGAAATCAAATGTATCGAGTCTTGAAAATAAATCAGGAATCACCAAACTTTTTTCTCTGGGGGCCACATTATCGCTCCTGACTGTGGTGGGGGCCGGGGTCGGGTCGGCCGTATATAACAGAATTGTTTACATATCTTTTTTTTCTACACTTTCTTTACATATCAGACAAACTGCACGGTCCTCACACTGAACAAAAAAATAATCGGTCGTCCACTTTTCTTTGAAAACTCGGGACTCACTGTCAAGTTTTTGTACTTTAAAGGTTGTATGGAGGATTTTTGTTTTGTTTCAGATTGTCAATGATTGGTTAAAATAACATTACAGAGACGCAGCAGCCTTGTAATTATATGACCAAAAAAAAAAAAAGAATGAAAATCTATCAAATGTGGATGTAGTGAGGCCAGATAAACATCAGCCAATAGAAAACAAGGCTACCTCATTTTCTATTGGCTGTTAGGTCGTCAATCAAATTCCTTACATTTCTCGTGTAACTGACTCGGCGGCACGCTGGGATTACGTGGTTTATGCGGCGGTTCTTAGAGACTTTTTCAAACTGTAGCGTCATCGCAATTCGCACAAAGTTTGTTGCGACGGCGGACGAGAATCCAGGACCAGTTCGCCGCGAAAAGAAAGTCAGTTTTCGAGATCGCTGAAAGAAGAAGAGAAGAGGAAAAGGAGCAAAGACAAACTGAGGTGATTCTTGGAGATCCCTTCCAGCGATGGCGCGACTCAAGTAGACGACGGTCACTAAATTATTTCTAGACAAGTCACTTCGACTGTAATTCCGAACGCCCACTGGCTGTAAACGTGTGTGATTTCTAGAGTAAGGAGGCGGGAGGAGATGTTTCTACTGAGGGAGCTGTGGAGGAGGAACATTTGAAAAAGAACTGTCGCTGTAGTTCTCTTCCCTTAAAAAAATCCTCTATACAACCTTTAACACGAGCCATTTTTCTGTCTTTAACTGCACTACAGAACTCTGCACTTGCGTTGACTCTCACTGTTTGATCTCGATCTTGTCCTCTGACGAAAATTCGGTTGCAAATGTAAATACGTCAAATAATAATTTAAATATAAATATAAATGCTTCATGTAAATCTCATTTTTAATTGAAAAAATCAACAAAAATACAAGATGCAGATGTGTTATTATTTGCCAAAAAGTAAGTTAAAAAAAATTGTTCATGACAACTTTTGAGGATTACCTCATAGGGCCAGTTGCATCTCCACGGTGTAGGGATATCCTCATGGAAACCAAACCAGACCAAGTTACAGCTCAGATCTGTGGAGAGGCGACACCCTCACAGTCTGAACGCCTGTTTTTCTAAGTATTTTTAAGCTATAAAACCACCTGTAATTGAATAAATGTAAGGTAAAGCTGTTTAAAGTCACACTGCGGAACATTCCAGGCAGTGCAATGACATATATCCACTTGAAACAAGCAGGTGACGGACCCCCAGCCAAAAAGTTACACAGCGCCCCTTTAACAAACACTT